GGTGATTTTAATCTTATTCTGCTAAGCGCTGTAATCCTATTGGCGGTCTCCTCGTTCACCGATCAGCCGAGTGCCCAGAAATAGGCTGAGCAGTAAAGTAGGTTTGTATTGGGGGGATTAGAGACTCTGTCAAGTGTTTGTTGCAGTCTGTGTCCCCCGGGGGGGGGAGATGTCACTTGACGTCCTATCTTAGTGATCAGTGTCAGTTTGCCTTGTGCAACAGGACTGTTCCATGCCCCAATGCATGCACCTCACAGCTCGGATCAGCCCCCAATGCATGCGCCTCACAGCTCGGATCAGCCCCCAATGCATGCGCCTCACAGCTCGGATCAGCTAAATGCATGTGCCTCACAGCTTGGATCAGCCCCAATGCATGTCCCTCACACCTCAGAGCAACCCCAATGCATGTCCCTCACACCTCAGAGCAGCCCCAATGCATGCGCCTCACACCTCAGATTAGACCCAATGCATGTCCCTCACACCTCAGAGCAGCCCCAATGCATGTCCCTCACACCTCAGAGCAGCCCCAATGCAGGTCCCTCACACCTCAGAGCAGCCCCAATGCAGGTCCCTCACACCTCAGAGCAGCCCCAATGCATGTCCCTCACACCTCAGAGCAGCCCCAACGCATGCTTAGGATCAGCTCCAGTGCATGTAGTTCCTCTTGCGGGGGGTCCCTCTAGTGATAAGTAAATCCAGGACCCCCACACCCCGGTCGGGTCACTCTAGAAGTCAGTGTAGATCGCCGAGTAGAAGAGATGATCGGCCACTTCCTGTTTTTCTTTTCTGTACTTCCTCTCTGTGGCCGGTTTATAAAGATGAAAATTGCTGTTTCACTGTTTTATTTTCCTGGGAAATATTGTTGTTGACATTTCGGGTCTCACGCTGATGAGGGAAGTTCCTCGGCTCTGTTTTCCTATTTTGTGACCTCTCCCAGAGACTTTGAGACATTTTCTGACCGCATGTTAATGACATATGAAGACCCCCGATACCGGCCGTCTGTTGTCCGTGGAGGGAGAAAGATCCTTTCATTGTGTTTTTTTACATTATTATTATTATTAGGATGCACCGATAGCGGTTTTTCGGTATTGAGTACGGTAGCATGGAACCTCCCTTCCTCCGGGAAATATAAGGGTGTCAGCCATTTTATTACCCTGTCTTTATCCCCCTGAGCCGTGAAATCTGCAGTGCTTGGAGAAACCACTCCAACATTGGGAGATCCAGAGTGACTCTACAGCAGGGGTTCCCAACCGCCGGACCTCTGCCCCCCCTCCTTGCCGGGCCTCTGCCCCCCCTCCTTGCCGGGCCTCTGCCCCCCCTCCTTGCCGGGCCTCTGCCCCCCCTCCTTGCCGGGCCTCTGCCCCCCCTCCTTGCCGGGCCTCTGCCCCCCCTCC